AGAGCCATGCGATGGGCTAGAAAAAGTTTAGCTGCGGGCAGATGCCACTTCTGGAAAAAACTCTTTCTTCAAGGTGACAGAAAATCCCTTCAAATTTATCAACATTCAAGTATTTATTTTTATACATTATATTTTAATAGGTCAAGTTTATTAAAGTTTAAATTCGTAAAGTTCATTGACTTAAACTTTATGAAGGTAAGCTATTACCAAAAAAGAAAAACTTGAAAAAAACGTATTGAAATGAATTTTGGAACTTTTGGATATTCTTGAAAATGTCAAAATAACATATTCAAGAGCACCAAAGATAGAAAAAGTTCTCGCCAACGTTTGAATTATATCGGAAAAAGTAAAAATCCGTTCTGTTTGCATAGAATGACTTGTGTAAAGCTATGATAATCTCCTATCATCGAAAACTAAACTAAATCTCCGACAAAAAAGTGGGGTTATTACGAAAGGTAATAAGGCGGTGAGTGTTGCAACAGTACAACAGCTGGACGTATAGGTACTCTGACTGCTTCGCTAGGTCATGTGCAACTGAAACCAAAAACGTATTATCGTCGGCTATAACTACACTCGGAAAACAGAAGGAATTTAAAAGCAAAGAAAGCGCCAAAAAAATTCACCATATCGATATTGAAAACGTTTCGGAGTCCAGCTCCATCATCAGTTCGACTAAACTAAAAATGAATAAAATCACTTTAAAAGTCAAAATTCAAAGACAGTCATAAAACCTAAACAAGACCTAACATTATATCGAAATAAACAGGACTAGTTTATTTCGATATAATGTTAGGGTTAAAAATGGGTTATACTGTCAAAATAGCGACATATTTTATTACTCAAAGCAGGAACAGAGAATGGACGTAGGCACTAATATGTCCTATTGCCGGGCTTAAGTGGGTCAGATTGACCCACGCAATGGGTAAAATTAGCATCGTTATTTGGACAAAGTCACACTTATTTCTCTGCGTAAGGGTAGCATAAAAGACTGCAGCCATACATATGATTAAATAATTAATAAAAATAATAATTAAAATAATAATAATGCTAAATAATAATTAATAAAAATTCATGCAGCCATACATGAAAAATTGGGATAAAGTTATTCATTTCGAACAAAACGCCATGACGCAGCGTAGCCAATATAATTTTTCTAGAAAAAAACACCCAATCAAGAGTTAACTACCGCTCATTGGCAGTTAATTCGCATTTTATTCTGTAACATATTGTAAATTTAAATATTATACGAATAAACGAATTATTAATATCAATTATACGAATTTAAATATTATACGAATAAACAACAAAAGATCACGAATTGAGTCGTTCAAAGCTCTAAAACGTCAAACAATAGCATTCATTACAGAGCAATAAAGACTTTAGAAAATGAAAGAAGGTGAAGGTAAATCCTTGGATACCTCCATATCATAACATGATATGGTGGTATCCAAGGTGGTATGATAACATGATACAGAACGATACGAGTTAACAAAAGCCTTTAAAAGGTACGAATATGAAATACAATATCTGAATCTGATATATAATGCAAATATGGATGATAATGAATGGATTCCAAACAATTAACTGGAGACATCTTCCAGTTCCGGAAGTGATAGGAAAAAATTATACGTAGTTCAAGAACTTGAAAGGAAATAAATAATTTCGCTTCACTAATCTGGAACCTTCAATACAGTCCCGACCGAGTTATCCGCCTAGTCGAAACAATTCAACAGCAGAAATTCCCAAAAATTTCGATTTCCACTCACATTGACCAATTTATTGTTACTATTTGTTAATATTAATGGTTGGTCATTTGGGAAAAACAATCCAAACTTGGATGGACAAGGACGAATGCTACGGGAACTCAATGCATTGAGTAAATATACGAAATCTAACTAAAATTGTACACCAAAAATGGGTAAAACAAATGGTGGCCTCAAATTTTAATCGTTGAGAGCAACTCCATACATTATGCATCTTCCAAAACCATCTTTTCGCACTTCCCTTAAAGCAAAAAATACTCGGAAAAACGCTTTCACATACGTATACTTAAAGTGTAGAATGATTCTCGATAGCTAGATCCACAAAAAAATGTATATACGATGTGTAGGGTCGAAAGCCAGCAACATGCGGCATCTCAGCCGGTCAGTGTTTGGCTTTAGCCCACTTTTACGTTGGTACACGACTGCTTTCACTCTCGCAAAGAAAGATGCCTACAGAGGTCTACTGGAGGCATCAAGAGGCGCTTTTTTTCTCTTTGAAAGATCTTCAGGGTTCCTATGAGTAGAGAGAACAATTAAATCGATACGAACATATTCGGTTTTATCGGCCACGTCAGTTGATTGGATTCAAATGAAGACAGGCATATTGCATGAAGACATGAGCTTTGAACTAACTCAATTTATATTTTTTTTGTTGAACTGAGTATTTCAGAATGTAGACACTTAATTGATCGTTGAACGAAGTATTTATGAAATTATACAATGCTTTGGATTCGATGATGATTTATGATGATATAATAATTATTTCATTGGATAATGGCTAAAGATTTGATTTAAACAACAATATTTTCAACTAAGGATTTCTGTTTTACATGCAAAAAAGTCAAAAAGTCATCTGAACTATTTTTAAGTTATTCCATTTTGAAATGCGAAAAACTACAAGGGATTTAGCAAGATTCGGAAAACGATAGCTGGATCAAATAGCAATATTTTTCAAGCCATATTTTTCAAGCTTAAAACATTAATTCGATTCATCTAATTTATAATCATCAGAATAATCCAGATAATTATCCATAGCAGACTAAACATCTGGGAAATAATATCCGGTCAGACACAAAATCAGCATCAGATAATCGTTGTGATCGAGCACTAAATCTTTACGAAAATAAAAACGATGTAGACGTACGGATATTAAAAGCTATATGTAAGTATTAAGTACATGTAAATGATGCACTAAGCGTAGGTTGATTATACATAAATCTCAAGGAATATAAATACGGAGGAGGCGTATATAATTTGCCAAAGCTATGCTGATTATATACAAGAATCTTTACGGATATAAATACGGTGCAAGCATAAATAATGCGCTGAGCGAAGCTGATTATACACAAATATTCACTAATATTAATACGGTTGAGTCGTATTTAACGCGCTAAATTATTGGGTCAACATGACCCGATAAGCCGCAGCAAGTGGGTCAACACGACCCGATAAGCCGCAGCAAGTGGGTCAACATAACCCGATAAGCCGCAACAAGTGAGTCAACATGACCCGATAAGCCGCAGCAAGTGGGTCAACATGACCCGATAAGTCACCGACTCAGTGACTGCCAACGCCACAAAACCTGTGAACTTCCTGCGCAGTTCAGCCGCGCGTCTCTGCAAGAACCTGCTCACAAAACTCACAATTTTTGCCTAAATTCTTCAAGAAAATAATTCCGATAATAATGCTTTTACAATAATAATAATATGCGATAATATAAACGCATTATATAATATACAGTATACGATAATATGCGTTTACGGTGATACCGTAAACGATAGGGCTTTTTAGTTATAGTGTTCAACGATGAAAATTTGCTTGTGATGCTTCATCGGCATTCATAAGGTTTGATAGGAAAATAATACGTGTTCAAGTTAATTCTCGGACATCATTTGATTGTGGCCAATCATTCAATCATAAAAGAATTGTAGATATTTGAAGATATTTTATAGTAGAAGAAAATACTGTAGATAATATTTTTTTCATCGTGCTTAAAATTTCTATCTTTATTTGATCTTATTTAGATAAACATTCATTAGGATAAGGATGTAAATGATCATTGATACAAACAGAAGAAGATATTGTAGAAGATATTTTAATCACGTTTCAGATTTTAATCTAAAAATGATCTTATTTATATAAACGGTCATTTGAAAAAAAAATGAATGCTAATTGACGAAACAACTTTATTGAAGAACATATAGAAAACGTCAATGATGAAGAACACATTCAACATTCATCTTAATAAACAAAGAACGTGAACACGCCGCTAGCCGAAACAATGCGCAATGAAGCCCAAGTACAAGAAAATAAAACGACAAAACGGCTCAAGAAAAATACATTTTTATTAAACAACATATGGAAAAAGTCAATGAAAAAGATCACATTCAACATTTGAATCATCAACATCATCTGAATAAACAAAGAACGTGAAGACGCCGCTAGCCGAAACAATGCGCAATGAAGCTCAAGTACGCGAAAATAAAACGACAAAACGGTTCAAGAAAAATACATTTTTATTAAACAACATATGGAAAAAGTCAATGAAAAAGAACACATTCAACATCTGAATTCTTATAATGTCTGTAGGATTACTTTTAGACTGACAAACCTAACACAACACTAAACAAACTATACAAATAAAAATGACACTAAAAGAAAAGACAGTAAAATGATAAATGAGAAAGAGCAGCCAAAGAAAGATGAAGAAGCAATGCGCATTAGTTGCAGAGTCGCATTGTGAAGAAAAGCCCATGCTGTGCACTGCTACATGTCAGGCAATAATTTTACCGCATGCCAAACATAATTCTATTGTTAGGCCAAATCTTGAGGTCAATAGCAAGGTCTTCATTGTTCCGAGGCTGCCTCTAATCATCTAGGGAATTGTATGCCGCATTACCAGGCAGAATCACAAGCAATATATATATATGGAGGATTAAAGGTCACGTCGAAAACTTTATCTGTGTTTTGGGTACTTTTTTGCATAATAGTTTTTAAATACGAGGGAGTTCGGAGGTAAATGCCTATGTACGACATTTATCAATTTTTTTTTATGCTAGCCATTCTACATGGTTAAAGTTGCTCAGATAAGAAACAACCACTAAAAAAATTATTCTAGATAAAACTGTAGATTGGATGCGGAGTAAAAATAAAACAAAAACCGCCTCGTTAAAACGATGCTCACATTGAAAAAAGTATGGCCACACAGCTCCGCCAAAACAATGTATCCGGGCCTTACCTGTCTCAACCCTTCCATTTTTCCAAGCGTCCTGGAAACTTGGCTTCTACCGAAGTCTTTGCTCCTCGAGTCGCCAACTTTTCTTGTGATCCTTGACGGCACGTCATAAATATCCTCATGGGGAGACGGAGGAAGGGGATAGGGTTCATCCATGCGGTTGAGAATCCCTCCATAAATCGAACCATTTTGGTAGTAATCTGACGACAAAGTCCGGTGATAGTCGGGAGGACCGTTCCTTGTGAATTCATGAGACGTCTTCCTGGTGTCAACGATGACAAGTTTTCGTGGCTCATGAATGACATCGTGGAGAGGGACACTTATGTCCTTACGATAGGGGTAATTATCCATCGCCTTCTTGTTATTGTTAGCACGCTTACGAGTCTCGTCGGACACATGATGGGCTTTGTGTTCGCCGTAAGAAGCTTGGCTGGAGTTTGTGGGACGAAGTTCAACGTGATTGGCGGGTGCTCGCGACAGCCGACGGTGATTATCAGGTGCGTTTTTTACCGGATCCTGAGGGAACTGAAAGTCAGGATTTTTGTAGGAAGCCTCTTTGATATCGACCGTGGATATGTTACGATGTTTGCCACTGAAACCATTGCTGGGAGCAGATATTGAATTGAAATTGCTGTTAACAGCTTTTGAGTTGGTTGCGGAAGTCTTGCTGCGAGGTTGGCTTCGGTCTGCGTTGTGGTTTATCAAATTAGGTTTGGGGGCACTGCTAGAGATATTGTATACGGACACATGCGGTCCTTTAATCGTGTTAATGTCTTCGTAAATGTCCTCACCTTGACCACACTGGACGGCACTGTTTAAATGATTGTTATTGTGTTGTGGTATGACGGAGTAAGCTGATGCGTAACAGTCATTGGAGGTGAGGCTGTTAGGCTTACAAACAGCATAGTAGGGACTGCTTCCATTCGGGAGATTTGAGCCGGTTCGAGGAGCATTGTTGCATTGACCCACGAGAGGAGCCGAAATTTTCCTTCTGTCCGAAGACAATCCAAAGAATTTCTTGTCCTTCTTCCGTTCTAGGTTCTCATAATCTAGCTCAGGCTCACTCTGAACTTCCCTAATCTCCTCTTTGTCGTAACCTCCAATTCTTCGTTTTCGGTTAGCACGGCCAAAACCGAATTTTTTCTTGGGTCTTGGACTGACTGTGGGCGAAGTGGTCGGGCTGGTTATTGGGCTGAACGACTGCAGCTTCTGCACAAGGCTTCCGAACATGGCGATCGGGTTGCCGTAAGCTCAAATGTACGAAAATAATATTAAATATTTTTTTTAATTGAGTCGAAGCACGTATTTCGATGTCAATGTCGGAGCGGACCCAAAAAGGTCCGAAAGCAATGTTTTAAACGACATATTGAGTTGGACAATGAACTCGGAAATTTTACGCCAAATATTAGTTTTGATTACAAACGGTCACAAGCTTTCAGTTTCTAATTACAGAAATCCACTCCGGAAGTCGGCAGTATTTTCCACTATACACTTGAATCATGGAGAACACTATGCCGTCAACAGACAAATTCAACACATCACTAACACGTCAGCAACTAATACAAAACCTAAAGACTTCCTATAATTCTTGTCTTAAATTTTCAAAACAAATTAGAATATGAAAATCCTCAAAGACAACTGAAACAATCTACGCTTTCACTGCAAAAGTTTTCTTTACACATAAGTTTTCCAGGATTATGAAAAAAATAAAACAATTCTAGATTAGTTTTGTTAACTTCTGAAGAATCAAACTTGATTTCAATTCATCGATAGCAGGAAATAGAATGCTTATTGTTATTGTTTCTTTTCACTCGAAAACTCACGATGCTTGATCGAAAGCGACATAAAAACTCTACAAGAAAAAAATATTCGTTATTGGATGGTTCGACTAGCTCTACAAAATTATAAGAAATCGTGATCTGTTCAACGATCTTATGTTCAGGTCTTATGTTGATCATATATATGATCAACATAATTTATATGTAATATATATAATTATGTTATTTTCAATATTGATAATTGTTTTGCAATCAAATTTCGGATTTGTGAAGTTTTTCGCAGCGGCATGCGTGTGGATATCGAAATGCTACCAGAAACCACGATAAAAAAGCAAAGAAATAAAAGATAAAAAATCTTCCCGATGTTCAAAAAAGTTTTGTCGTGAAAAGCGTCAATCGACAAACGATTCAGTCAATTAAATTAGTCGAAATCTCATTTCGTTATTGAATTTATGCTGAAAGTTTGCCGAGGTTGTTTACAATCGCAAGTGTTTACTTGAGACCTCAACCTCTAAACACGCAGGTAGGAAGAATTGTAATTATCGGCTGAACATTTATTGGTCACTGAAGCGTCGTCTAAAAGTTTCTCTACGGTAACTGAATCGATAAGGTAACGGATCGGGTAACGGCGGTGTTACGCTCGTCACTTGCATGGTTTCTTAGCATCGACAATCCATGGAAACTTTTTTTTTCGTGGAATAATTTTTTAGTTTAAGGATGAAATGTGGAGTTAATGAGCTTGTTACAAAGAAAACAAAACTGAATTTAATTTCTTGAAAAAATGAAATTACTCATTTCTTGCAGAAAGCTAAAAAGGATGCTATCCGTGGGAGAAAGTGTAGAATGGATATAATTCGAATAATATAGAAAACAATATGTAAATGTTTACCAATAAGAAAGGGTATATATGCTATTTGAATAAATGTCAATTAACACCAGGTGTTTCCTATCAAAATAGAGACCGTTGGAATTTCGCTTGGATTTGTTAAACATTTAAAATGTATTGAAAATATTCAACAAGTATAAACATACGAGTTGCGCGACACAAATTACTTTAATTGATTCGATTATTATTTAAATTGCAAACCTACAGATGATTTCAAGTTGCATCCGTCTGCCCGAGATAATTCAAATAACACAAAAAAAAAAGTTTGAAAAAACAATAAAGTTTCGATAGTCCAAATTTGCAAGGGAAAATCTTTTCACAATAACCGCTTTTTTGCGCAAGTCATGCGACTGTGATGCACCATTACAAACACAAAACAATTTCCAGAACTTTGTAGCTTAGGGCGCACAAAAAGCACGAACGAATGAAGAAAAAGCACCCCGGCACTGACTCTTAGCAGCACCGACGCAACACAACCTCTCCCTGTCACAGCCAGCCAACATCTGACCAGGCGATCCGGTTGACCCAGGGGCTGAAGCTCGGGTCGGCACGCCGATTTGTGCCTTACTTAAAACATGAATGAAATCTCACGTATTGGTTATTTCTTCCAAGTTTTCATGAATTTTACAGTGTTTATCGAAAACCACGTCTTTTAAAGCCTAATGTTTTTGTTAAATTTCACCAATAAATCGAGGTTTACCGCATTACTCGCTCGTTTATAACATAAAAATCAGTCGGTGAGGTAAAAATTCATTTTGGATTTATAATGGCAAGCAAAGAGTATTCGGCTTTCATATATTACTTTATTGACATAAAAATTATTACTGAAGACTATGTTCACAAACAAATTTCAGTTTAATCAAGGTTCCGTTAGAGGTGGAAGGTCTTAATTGGCCATAGCGCTAAAACTGACGAGATAAAAGCGGCGTTGGCATCGAAAAGACACGATAACAAAATAAATGAAAAAGGCGAAGCAAACCAAAAACAGCAACGAAGACGACACAGGAGAACAGCAAGATGAATGGGAGACAGATGGGAAAAGGTTTTCCGAAAAGAATCGTTCAGTCAATAATTAACTTTTATAAACTGTCAAAAGTGAATTAATTACATCAACAAGCACTGTACAAGCATGAAGAACCACCACTGCAATTAATAGTTGCTTTATTTTAATTCAGCATAATTAAAACTTATACAATTATGTCTTAGAAATACAGTCGGTTTTCTTTAATACAATAAAATTAATATAATTCCCTCAAGTTATTTTTCAATTGTTTACGCCTCATACGAATAAATTTTTACACAAATAATCAGTAACTTTTTAAAGCGCATTTAGCCTTCGTAGGTTGCGTCAAACTGAAACAAACTACCAGGCTTCTTCATGTCATGGAACAATAGGCACAGCTGTAGAGCTTAATGCTCTCTATATTAACTAACAGCTTGCGCCGGTCGTGCATGGGGAGCTTGCACGGAATTTGCAAAAGATCTCTTAAGAAATTACGGAGCGTGTTGGTCTTTTCCGAGAATTGATTATCCGCCATGACTGGGCAAGAGATCGAACTTTGATGGAATCAATTGAAAAGAAGAATCAATCGACGCTTGTAAATCAGAACTTAGGGAACTAATTTAGACACAATAAATACCGAAATGCTTTTCTTTCCGAGAATTTTATAAATTTAATTTTTTAACAAAATATTTTCACAATATCCAAACAGTTGAGCACTTCACGTCCTGAATAAAATGATAGCTGTGATAAAATCAGCTGCGTGTCCTGGACGTTTCAACATAAACAAAAGAAGAAAAAAATCTTGAGAATTTTACACACAAGATTCATCGCAGGAATTAGGTTTTGCTCTAAGTTAGATTAAGTTTAACTATTGCGCAATAATTAATTCTGACACAGGAGAAATCTAAAAAAAACTTGACGCGTAAATTTTGCATTTTAGTACTGAGAAATTTTCGGAGCAATTTGATCGTAAGCCTAACTATATAAACTTCTAAGGGAGGAATTTTCTCCCGTCAGAAGCAACTAAAAAGCCTAAAATTGCATCGTTCCATTAACAAAACAATATGCTTGCAAGCCTAGAACATGCAAAACGCCTCTGTGAAAAATACAAAATACAGCTTTTATAATGCAGACATGGACACATCAAGAGCGCATTCAAAACTAAATTCGAGGTATATCACATGCGCGTGTGATGAGCATCACGCTGCGCACATAGCATGACGCATCACATGCGCGTGTGATGAGCATCACGCTGCGCACATAGCATGACGAATCACATGCGCGTGTGACGCTTTTCGCTGGAATTGTGTGCATGGGATGCAGAAATTATGATTTTTTCAACCATTCAATCAAAATGAATTCAATCTCCATGGCCGGATGCAGAGACTGGCAAACGTGCGTTTCACAGCATCAATAGCTGTTATATTTCAACAGTAAGTCGATTGGCGACTGCAGTGATATATGAAGAATCTAATACAATATGAAGAATCTAATACAAACGAGAATTTACAATATATGACGTATTAATATGAAGTTAAAGTGGTATTATATTTATTTTAATTGCTACGAAACAGGGAAGTTATAGTCTCTAAGTTTAAATACGATCAAATTCCGGAAATGGATCACTCGCTACTGAAAATGGCGTTGGTTTTCAATCATAATTAGACACAAGAAACATTCAGCGTAATTCGTCTGTCATGCTAAACTGCCTCAAAATTCTGCGACAATATTTAAGAAACAAGATCAGTATTTGTGGTGCACTATAGTACTTCTATCTGCATTTATCACCGAATCAAAAACATTGGCACCTGAAAATTTTAGATTTTATGCCACTAGATTCTATTTTTTTTATTTGATTTTGAGTTGAAATGCAAGCGCAGAATACATGTAAATCATTATAGACAAACGACAAAGTAAATATTTTGCACGCATTACCACGCACAAATGAACATCGATAATTAATACAATATAGTTTCTTAGAAAAAAACGGTTAAGGTTTATTGTAGCAACGCAGTATTGTTGCATGTTGGAAATATACACAAATTTTTGGCAGAACACACTCTCAGATTGTGAGATAGTTTGTTTGCAATGGAACTCCACAGCAGATTTTGAATGCATGACGAATTAAAAAAAAAAACATGAAGGTCGGTTTCGAGGCAGTAGCCGGCCTGTTAAAGTTTGGAAATTACGTCATTATGCTACAAAATAGCGGTTATCCCGACATTACGAATCTAACTTTATTGCGGACCGGAACTTACTAGGGACGAGTTATTTTATTACAGGTGGACCAATGCATTAAACTTTCAGGTGGAACTTTCTCCATTCATAAATTTCAATTACAAATTGAAATAGAGGTACAAAATAAGAAACGTTTATAATAGTCTAAGAAACATATATAGCCTTATAGGTATACAGCATCGTCTTAAATAGGCCACATGTGGAATTACCGATCTAACACTATTTAAGCTAAGTGATACTGAATAAAAAATCAAAGAAGCCACAAGATCGAACATCGTTGCAAAAAACTATGCCGCTGGCGCAGTCTCCTAAAATAAGAAACCGCCCGCACATCAAGATGCTCTCGAAAACTGTAAATTGTATGCATTTTTTCATGTATTTTATTAGCTTAATTTTAAATGCTCACTTTTTGGTGGGTTCCACCTTCTCGATGTACTCGTAATAACGCGCCCACATACAGCTGAACGCCTCCCCTGATAACACACAAAAATATATACATCGTGGAAAAATTACACAAGTTTAATATTAGAAACACAAAATTTGATTTAAAAATATAACTCAGTACTCACTGCAGTGAGTGACAGAGAGCGCATTTTCTCGTCGACGAAAACGTTAAGTCACGGACGGACCGACAGACGGACAGACGGACATGGCGAACACAATGGTGCATTTTTTTCATAAATGAGAAAATGCGCTAAAAAGACGAAGACCGGTTTCGATGAAGTGGCCGGCCTGTCAAAGTTTGGAAATTTTGTTCGCTAATGCTCTCTCTATAATGGTCTTCACAAGATACGCAATAATGGTAGCCATCAAATCTAAAATTAAAAAAAAATTAATTAATTAAAATCCGAGTAGATTTTGGCATATGGTGCACGGCAAATTTACATGTACACCTACGACTGGAACAGCGAACATTTAGGAACGCAATCCTGAGAAAGTTCTTTTCTAGTGAAAAAATTTAGCGGTACAAGCACAAATCAAGTTGAAACGATTACTCACACTAAAGAATGGTACATTTTTATTCAAGAATAAATAATGTTTAAATAGCAACACAACATTGATGCATTGTAAGTTAAAATTGACGTTTAACAGGTGGACCAATGCATTAAACTTTCAGGTGGAAGTTTCTCCATTCATCAATTGCGTATATTCACAAATTGAAATAGAGCTAGGAAATAAGAAACGCTTTTAACAGTCTAAAAAACATATATAGGTGTACAACATCGTCTTAACCCTCTACCGCCTGACATGAGTAACCGGAGCAATATTCTTACAAGTCTACTTCCCAAAAAAGATACGTTGCTAGTGAGGGCAAAATGACTTGCATTGATGGTTGCCGCCACGTACGATAACTTTAAAATGTTTTCTGTTGCTTACAAACGTCCTCAGGTTGCTAGACTCAATATTTTACGAATAATTTAAGTTCAAAGTTATGTTCCCGGAGAGTGACATAAGATGATAGAGGGTTATATAGGCCAAATGTGTAATTACTGAACTAACACTATTTAACCTAAGTGATACTGAATAAAAACATAATAGAAGCCACTAGATCGAACATCATTGCAAAAAAACTATGCCGCTGGCGCAGTCTCCCAAAATAAGAGACCGCCCGCACATCAAGACGCTCTCGAAAACTGTAAATTGTATGCATTTTTTCATGCATTTAATGTAAACACTTCTAAAACTTTGTAAACACGTGTATGCATTATTTACTTGTGTTCGGTTAGTGACATCACTCAGCGGATGTTAACTGTAAACATTTTTTAATACAGTTATTGAAAGATCGGGTTCCAAAGGCCGGATCCCTTGTGAATCAAGTCACGAAAAATTCAAGAATCGGCAACAGGCCATGGGCCTATTTCTTCAGTGCCGACACTTCTATTCTATTCTAAATTGATATGAGTCAGAGCGCCCACATGTTTTTACTGGTCTGGTACCACATGCGAGGGGATAGGTCAAAAAAAGCGTAGTTCTAGTTTGTACGGTACGATCAAAAACAAAAACTGGACGATGGGGTTCTTTTACATTAATCTGACGCAGAACTTGACTATAATGTATATAAACTGTTACTGAGATGAAGAACTAACCGGTAGTTGCAGAAGTTGCTGCACGGAGTGTTTGGCTGCGCCGCGATGCAGCTTCAACAGTTCCCGTAGCTCCTCGTTGCTTGACAGCTTCTTTTGCAGCAACCTACGAGAAAAAATAGTAAATGAATATACCCCATGGAAATTTTATGACCTAGTTAACAGTTAATGATAAAATAGTGGTAAATCTGAACGGTTTTGAGCACTAGGTCGCAACCGCAAAAGGATTCATGCTTTGAATTTCGAAAAGATTAATTGAACAATGCATCTGCCTCTCTGGATATTCAATACTACTTCAAGTAAGAACGGTCAAAATCAAACTATAAATTAATATTGGGTTACTGCACCTGCCTATCTAAGAATAGAATAGTTGAACTCATGTTAGAAATGAATATTGAGGCGAAAATTTTTCATTGTCACGTAAACGGATCTCATTGATTATTGAGCTGTCAGCCTTGTCGGCGCAAAAACACTTTGCAAACCGGCTCATTAGTGATATTATCAAATTTAATCGAACAAATAATAAACCTTGAATTTGAAATGAACAGATAATTTATATATTCTTTCCAGGAGCACAAAAAATTTATAAGTACAAGAGTTGACCAAGTCAAATCCCGTAAAAAATTGTAAATTTCCTGATGACTCGAAGATTAGGTAATGTTATATGCTACTGTTTGGTTTTTATAAGCTTCTTGCAGCACGAACAGCGAGAGTGATTATTTGGCAGATTCCAGTAAAGATTATCAGGTCAAGTATATATTTATGCAAGTTTCTCCCGAACTCTTCCGAAAGAAAACTATATAATGATCGAAAAGAAAACTTATATCAGAGCAGAAGAAAATGTTTTAGAGGAGAGACCACTTTAAACACATCACAGAAGAACTCACTTTAGAGTGAAAATAAAAGGAATTGAAAATCAAAAGCGAAACACTTATAAGCGAAACATCTTAGTTACCTTACATTTTAGTTACATTAGAAGTGAAACATTTTAGCTACCGATACATTCAATCAAGGCAATTACGGTAAAATAATACAATGTACAATACGTTAATGAGTTCTGCAATCGGTATATTTCGCAGATCAAGAACAGAAAGTAACAGAGTAGTGGTTTCAAGGAGAGCCTGGGCCTGCTAGGCACCGACGCACTGTGATGTGATGCGTAACGAAGCATTCAAAATTATATTTCAAAGAATGATTCGTCCTCGTGGAGCCAAAATAGTGAGACAATTACGTCTAATAATTCGCCATGCAAAGCCATTTGCAAATTTCACGAACAATTATTACTTGATTTGGTTTCATGTCTCGTAACTATTGTATCTTTCAAAATCACTACTAAAGCCAGTTCTGAAGCCACAGGCATACAGTTAAACATGTTGCATTTACTAAACACATATGTAATTGTACGGTTTTCAGAGTTTTGTACTAATCTAGTGAGAATTTTATGAGAATTTCAACTTTCGCATAGTTAAAATAATACTGTGATCTCTTACAATAATCGCAAACTCCACTAGAAACTCGCTTTGGTAGCTAATGTACACACTGAATAAATTCTATGTAAACTACACGCGCATTAACTGTTTTATAATTCTGCATCTTCGATAATATTACTTTCGCAATCTTTTGCACAATATTCAAAGCAACAAAAAAACAGTTCAGTGGATTTTCACTTTGAACTAGAATATTATTGTACAAAAAGAGAATTTTATTAGCTTAATTTTAAATGCTCACTTTTTGACGGGTTCCACCTTCTCGATGTACTCGTAATAACGCGCCCACATACAGCTGAACGCCTCGCCTGATAACACATAAAAAATATATACATCGTGGAAAAATGACACAAATTTAATATTAGAAACACAAAATTTGATTTAAAAAATATAACTCAGTACTCACTGCAGTGAGTGACAGAGAGCGCATTTTCTCGTCGACGAAAACGTGAAGTCACGGACGGACAGACGGACGGACGGACATGGCGAGCACAATAGTGCATTTTTTTCCATAAATGAGAATATGTGCTAAAAATCAAAAAAAGCCCCCAACCAATAAAAAGTAGGTCAATACCAGCCAATAAAAAGTTATGAATATTTACGTGAAAAATAAGTCAAGTTTTCAAAATATTAGCACGACCTTGTACACGTATTAACAATGAGGAACGCCTTGCGACCAGATTCCGATTTCAGTAACAATTACTTCATACCATTAAATATTTTCATTAAATATAAATCCACACGATTTCATAAACAACTTGACAAATGATAATATTTCAGAAATTACCCATCAAAAAAATTTATTTATATTATTTTCATGGTTATACTCGGTACTGATAAAAGAAATGAATAAAATGTTCCGAGAACATTCCTTGATAGAAGTTGGTAAAATCAACGTCTAATTAATACATTGCAAGAAGATAATACAACGTCAAAGTTTAATCAATACTTGGGAAAAAGATAATACAATGTTAACGTTTAATCAATACTTGGGAAGAATATAATACAATGTTAACGTTTAATCAATACTTGGATCAGTACTCACTGCAGTGAGTGACAGAGAGCGCATTTTCTCGTCGACGAAAACGTGAAGTCACGGACGGACAGACGGACGGACGGACATGGCGAGAACAATAGTGCATTTTTTCCATAAATGAGAAAATGCGTAAAAAATCAAAAAAAGCCCCCAGCCAATAAAAAGTAGGTCAATACCAGCCAATAAAAAATTATGAATATTTACGTGAAAAATAAGTCAAGTTTTCAGAACATTACAGCACGACCTTGGACACATATTAACCATGAGGAACGCCTTGCGTCCAGCAGATTCTGATTTCAGTAACAATAACTTCATTCCATCAAATATTTTCATTAACACGTTGACTACGATTGCTTCATCTTGTACTATTATTTCATTTTTAGAACCGTTTTTAAACAGTTTTGCCAGACGGTCATTTTTTCCGGACAAATTTCGTGATTTAGTTTTTCTCAATTGCGTTGGCCGGCTAAAATTTATGATAGGGGTGCTTCCTAATTAAATTTTAAATACTGCAAAAAGAAAATAAATGGAATTTTTATAGCAGAAGCTACAAATAAACTAGTATATATTGAGTTATCGGACTTTTTTGGCATTTTTTGTTCTCGGATTTGGCCGATTTTAGGCAACCTTAATTATGTATCACTACGTCCTGGAGAAATACATTTCGTGGTACGCATATGTACCACTTCGTAGTCAACGTGTTAAATATAAATCCACATGATTTTATAAACAACTTGACAAATTATAATATTTCACAAATTACCCTTCTACAAAATTTATTTATATTATTTTCATGGTTATACTCGGTACTGATAATAGAAATGAATAAAATGTTCCGAGAACATTCCTTAATAGAAGTTGGTAAAATCAATGTCTAATTATAATACATTGCAAGAAGATAATCAACGTCAACGTTTAATCAATACTTGGAAAGAAGAAAATACAACGTCAACGTTTAATCAATACGTGGAAAGAAGAAAATACAACGTCAACGTTTAATCAATACTTGGAAAGAATATAATACAACGTCAACGTTTAATCAATACTTGGAAAGAATATAATACAATGTCAACGTTTAATATACTTGGAAAAAAGATAGTACGACGTCAACGTTTAATCAATACTTGGAAAGAAGATAATACAATGTCAACGTTTAATCAATACTTGGGAAGAAGATAATACAACGTCAACGTTTAATCTATATGGAAAGAATATAATACAATGTTAACGTTTAATCAATACTTGGGAAGATAATACAACATTCAGAAGTTGCATCCGAGAATAAGTGTTGAAAAGATACAAATTTTCGAATATATTTTCATAGGTAACTCACCGATGCATGAATTGGAGTCCCATCTAGCAAGCGCCGTCGACAGCTGGCAATGCAGATGAGAGAAGAAAAAAATATATATAAATAATGATTAAACCAAAAAATATAAATGGTTAAAAAGAGAAATTGAAAGAAATTAATGAGTAATTTATTACTTTTCAATGATTGGTTCATAGAACCGGAAACCATTTAGGGCTCTTGTCGAAACCCGGACACTTCGAGATCAAACTGGTTACAGATAGTGGCTAACAAAAGTCAGATAACAGTAGAATGTAGATAATATGGAAGGAACATCATTATCATAGGGAAATGTTCATTTTTACGCATATCCCGAACCAAATCTACGGTAAACAATCCTATTGAGACAGCATAAATTCTAACGTGAATTCATCAATCCTAAATTTAGGTCATTATGAAAAAACTCATCATATTTGCAAAATGATTTACAAACAAATTCTCAAATTTGTTAAACATAGTGATATTGTAACTCTATTTTCTGTTAATTTTATTGACATTTTTGCGTGATTATAATAATACGTATCGAATTATAATCGATATCTTATTTGTAACAATCATTTGTTCCATTTTCATCAGTCCACAATTAAAAACAAAATAATACGTAAGTCAAACTCTTGCAACTGTCCGTGGAAAGATGCAATGAAAATTCATTGAATTCGAGGCTGATATTTTTTCCTTAATAATTAAAACTACAAATTACCTTCATCACTAATTGTTTCCATAAGAATTTTCGGACGTTTGAATCATTCCATTTTACATGATGCCCTATCATCTTGCGGAACGTTCCGATTGCGGAACGTCGACAGGCAGCTCGTAAAATCCCAAGGTCTCAAAGTTTACAGTCTTAAATATTCTAAAGTCACAGGACGGCAAAATATCATGAATTAAAATACATCGAATTTTTAAACAAATTTAATTCTTAGTTACTTTTTTTCATAGTAAGACCAACCTTGTCGGTAATTTCCTGCGAGGCATCGATGACAGGCTCGAGTAGGCCCAGGATGGCCGAACTTTCTTCAGGAGTGACGGAGTCGCTAAGACGACGCAGAGGTCGGCCGTAAAGCGCCTCCAGAGTCTTCAGGCGGCCGCGGTACAGACGCTCCGACTCCACTAACTTCCTTACCAGACATTCTCGTCCGTCTTTCACTTCTGCAACGGAAATAATGTGGAATCTGACAGAATCTGACAGAAATAATGTGGAATCTGACAGAAAAATGTGGAATCTGACAGAAATAATGTGGAATCTGACAGAATCTGACAGAAATAATGTGGAATCTGACAGAAAAATGTGGAATCTGACAGAAATAATGTGGAATCTGGCAGAATCTGACAGAAATAATGTGGAATCTGACAGAATCTGACAGAAATAATGTGGAATCTGGCAGAATCTGACAGAAATAATGTGGAATCTGACAGAATCTAACAGAAATAATGTGGAATCTGACAGAATCTAACAGAAATAATGTGGAATCTGACAGAATATGACAGAAATAATGTGGAATATGACAGAATCTGACAGAAATAATGTGGAATCTGACAGAATATGACAGAAATAATGTGGAATCTGACAGAATCTGACAGTAATAATGTGGAATCTGACAGAAATAATGTGGAATTTAACATAATCTGACAAAAATAATGTGGAATCTGGCATCAAGTTGTGTAAAATTAACTGAGATATTAGGTTCCACTTTTTAAAAATTGATAAAAACCGTCTAGATTATGAATCTATAATAAGAGCCAATAAGAGTATAAACGACAACAAAATGACGTTAGATAGAAGTCATCTTCCGTGTTATGATTATTATCTCTAAGTATTGTCTTATGATAAAAGCATAAAAGTGGGTTTAAAGTCCGGTCTCGATCTATACAAACGACACAATCAGATGCCATCGGATCTGCCAGCAATCTAAATCGAAGCTCAGATAACCCGAAGCGCCGGAATCGGTCATAGTCTTGTTGAGACAACGATCAGTTTCGAGCAGACTTTCCGTCAGTGAAGATACATGTACGTTATTAATATTGATACTCAAGTGCGAAAGTGATTCAAAATGCAGACTAGTAAAGATAGTGAGATCATCCCAACGCAAGTTAATTTTACAAATAAAGTGAACGACTATGTGAATTGTGCCCTGAAATTTTTTTGCTGGGACTGTGATATAAATTGCAATTCAATGATAGGACTGGTGACTCACATTTTAAGTGATCACTATTGCCATCACTGTCGATTTTTCTTCCGCCATAAAAGTGACGCCAGCTTGCACAGTAAATTTGTTCACAGAACTCCAATACAGTGCGCGTTTTGCGTGAAATCCAATTTCCCAGACGAACAGCAACTAACGCTGCATATTTTGATAGAACATGATGCATCCATAGGATATTCGTACAGATGTAGTCTGTGTCCGTACAAAGTCGTGAGTCGCTCTAGCCTCATGCAACAACACATTCAAGCACATGTTCAAATGGTTGCAAATGATTACATTTCGGATAGGAAAAAGTTACAGTCTCACGAATTTTTTACAGGAGTTCTCATTGATTCGGATTCAAATAATCATCGCATTCCAACTTTGGAATGTAAGTCTTAAGATAACATATTTTTATTGCATAGGCCGTACATCACTATTGCATAGCCGTACATCACTAATGTGATTTACGGTTCCCTATTTCAATTTTTTCTATATTGCAATATTACATCAACGGTAAATGAGTATACTTTGTACTTAATTATTTTATATTCTAGAGTATATAAAAATGGGATCCCAGGAAGGAGACTTTCCTCCTATATATATATATGGCTTCCATTGGATCGAATGCCATAGAAAACACCATTGATTGTTGATCAGCTCTAACATACTTTTTAAAATTTAGGATTTATAATACTTTGAGTTGAATACTGCCAAATTTTCTAAATTACTGTGTAATGTTCATAGCTGAATTTTGGTGAATGATATAATATTCTGGATTATTTTCGACAGTTTGGATCATGCACCGCAAGGATGAAGAAGTCTTTTTCATCCAAGATTATAGCGAAGAAATCATGCCAACGCCCGCGCATTTTTCAGATAGAGGAAGTGAAATTCGCGAGTTTTTAGAACATTCCACCTGCATCGAAAACACTGACGAAGACTTCTCTTTGGCAGATTTATTTCGCGAAGATATCAAAATCGAAGAAATTAAAACAGAGTCCAAAGAACAAGAAGATGACGGTGAGAAATCGGCGGTGATTCGAATACCAATAGATTACGCAGAAATTTCGGAAAGTACGAATGAATTAGATGCTGATGGAAAGGAAATGCATGCAAAAATTTATGCAGAGGAAGAAAATGAATTGCTGATTAATTTAAAGACAAATACAACAGAAAAAGAGTTTCACGAAATTCGAGAAAATGAAAAGATCGAAAAATCAATGCAGAAACATGTCCCGAATGAAGCACAGAGTAAAAAATCCAAGCAACTTCCACGATCAGAAAATAAAATGAGGATAAAATCAAATTCAGATTATAGCGAAAATATTTCGCGTGTTAAAGGAATTGCATTGGTGGAGTGTAACGAAACCTCTAAAAAGGAATTATTTTTAAGCCATGGACGAATCGGAGACTTGCCTGCCAGAAATAACTATGCAACAATAGCTTCCAATAATTCCAACGCCGGGATCAACTCTGACTTGGGATATTTTCTTGCGGACAGAAAAATTAAATCAATCTTAAAAAACGCGTTCAATGAACGACCTTCTAATATCCATCCCAAGAAAAATGTTTCATTCCAACTACCTGCAGAGGAAACCACGATGACGGTAGATGGAAAGAACGTAAAAGAAAACTCTTCTGAACGCGAAACAGAAAGAGCGAAATTTCATTCGAAGAATCAAATTGAACCGTGCCATGAAAATTGTCCCAACATTTATGACAAAGTTGTACAGGGAAAGGAGGTGAATACTGGAATCTCAAACAAACAACGAATTCATTTCAATCTACCATCGACTGATAACTACCCAGAAATAAAATCAGTGCTAACAATCAAATGCTCGGGGAAGATATCGATTGGATGTCACTCGCAGGCAGCATCGGATTCCGTAAATCAAAACATTAAATTAGATGGACGCGATACGAGCCCTCCACTTCTTTTTTCGAGTCGAGGAGGTGAAAACCAGGTGAAAAAGAAGAGAAAAAATCGAAAGCTGACAAATCAAATACCAAACCATTATTCAAAGAAAAATGGATGGGAATCACAAAATAAATCTTCGATGTTTCTATGGTCTGATAATTTCGAAAATTGGTTTGAAAAGAAGCCCATGACTCTTGAGCAGACGACGAAGTGTAAGCTCAACCTAGAACGTCAACGGAAGGAAAAGATTGTAACAGTAATGACTAAGCAATCCAATGCACGGGAAACGTGCGATTTATCAGGACAAACTACTGATTTTTGTCCTTGTTACGCATGTGATATTTGGCAGTGATCCGCATCTTAGTTAAAACTCGCTCCTGCTCAAAATCACAAGATGCATTAACCCTTTCACGGGAAAGTTACCACAAATAGTCACTTGGAATCGCCTCCCAAAAACACCCACTATACGGCCCCAGTTTATATTTGAGGCATCGTTATCGTGCCTCTGTCAATTTCCCACTCAGCTAACCATCGTTTCGTTGATAGCATCATTCCCTACCAAGCTTAAAATTTTAAATATGAGCATTTAAATGAAGTTTTTGATACCGACTGTGAAATTGTCGCTCTCTTCGCATTTTTTAAAGGCGGAAGTAGCAAAATCTGTTCATTTGTTTGAGGTAACTTGAATAAATTTAATTAAATTGAATCTTGCTGTTTGGACTGAATTGAATTTGAATTGAATTGAATTTGTATTTCTTGAATTTGAATGAAATGTAAAAATTTTGCTTCGTGACAGCATGTAATAAATTCTTCAAGTGCGATTACTATTCCAATATAAAAAGTTTTGAAAAAAAAAACATGTGATTAAATATATCTTTTAATGGTTCATATTTTCCTGTACTGGTTTCATAAACTAAAATTTATGCATACTTCTATATGCTTGCCCGCGAGAATGTTGAGATCTATTCGATATATAGTGTTGTCCATCGGTATTTGTTTATTTTCACTCTATATGAAAGTCGTCCAATAAATTTTCAATTCCAACTGACCACGGAGACTTGCCTGCCAGAAATAACTATGCAACAATAGCTTCCAATAATTCCAACGCCGGGATCAACTCTGACTTGGGATATTTTCTTGCGGACAGAAAAATTAAATCAATCTTAAAAAACGCGTTCAATGAACGACCTTCTAATATCCATCCCAAGAAAAATGTTTCATTCCAACTACCTGCAGAGGAAACCACGATGACGGTAGATGGAAAGAACGTAAAAGAAAACTCTTCTGAACGCGAAACAGAAAGAGCGAAATTTCATTCGAAGAATCAAATTGAACCGTGCCATGAAAATTGTCCCAACATTTATGACAAAGTTGTACAGGGAAAGGAGGTGAATACTGGAATCTCAAACAAACAACGAATTCATTTCAATCTACCATCGACTGATAACTACCCAGAAATAAAATCAGTGCTAACAATCAAATGCTCGGGGAAGATATCGATTGGATGTCACTCGCAGGCAGCATCGGATTCCGTAAATCAAAACATTAAATTAGATGGACGCGATACGAGCCCTCCACTTCTTTTTTCGAGTCGAGGAGGTGAAAACCAGGTGAAAAAGAAGAGAAAAAATCGAAAGCTGACAAATCAAATACCAAACCATTATTCAAAGAAAAATGGATGGGAATCACAAAATAAATCTTCGATGTTTCTATGGTCTGATAATTTCGAAAATTGGTTTGAAAAGAAGCCCATGACTCTTGAGCAGACGACGAAGTGTAAGCTCAACCTAGAACGTCAACGGAAGGAAAAGATTGTAACAGTAATGACTAAGCAATCCAATGCACGGGAAACGTGCGATTTATCAGGCCAAACTTCTGATTTTTGTCCTTGTTACGCATGTGATATTTGGCAGTGAACCAGTGATCCACATCTTAGTTAATATTCGCTCCTGCTCAAAAGCACAAGATGCATTAACCCTTTCGCTGAAAAGTTACCATAAATGGTCACTTAGAATCACCTCCCAAAAAAGATCCACTACGGTCCCTGATTTTTATTTGAGGCATCGTTATCTTGCCTCTCCCAATTTCCCAATCACCTAAATATCGTTTCGTAGATAGCATCATCCCCTACCATGCCCATAAATTTATATATGAGCATTTAAATGAAGTTTTTGACGCCGACAATGAAATGGTCGTTCTTTTCGCATTTTTTAAAAAAGCCGGAAATAGCAATATCTATTTATTTATTTGAGGTAACTTGAAAAAATTGAATTAAATTGACCCTTGCTCTTTTTGTATACTTGAATTCGAATAAAAGGAAAAATTTTTGCGTCGTGACAGCATTTAATAAATTCTTCAAATGCGCTTACTATCCCAATCTGCAAGGTTTGGAAAAACATATGAGTAAATATATATTATAATAGTTTATATTTTCCTGTACCGGTTTCAGAAACTTAAATTTATGCATATTTCTATGCTTGCCCGCGATCTATTTTGATAAATAGAGATCTATTTGATAAATAGTGCAGTCCATCGGTATTTGTTAATTTTCACTCTACATGCAAGTCGTCCAATAAATTTTCAATTCCAACTGACCAATATTCATAACATTTGCGCTATAATTAATTCGTATTACGTCAGAGAGAATGCCACATAAAATACCGTAAAGGGTAATATAATTGAAAAAAATATTTAGGGATGAAAAAATCAAGTAACTAAAATAATGAACTAATGAAAAATAGTTCAAAGAATTGTTTAATGTTCAATGAATTGCTTATCTACGAGTTTCTTCTCCGATGAAATAGTGAAATTGCGAGATTCCACTTCCCCCTGATAATTAATGTAATAGAATGAAACGTATGCAAGTTTGGTGGGAATTCGGTTTGGAACACTCAACGGTGTAAATTCTTTATCCTAGTGCACGGTCTATTTCTATGTATTTTAGGAATAGATTTTTGCAGTTTAGAATAAGCGCTATTGAACATTCACACAACTCTAACAAAATAATTGACGATCATAGATTGAAACTCAACTAAATTTATTAAAATCACACATTAAACTTTTATCGCCTTCGGCAATATTGACCAGAGTCTGACTCACCTTTGTCGGAGGTATTGTCAGTTTTGTTTTCAATCAAGACGATTGTGTCTCCATCGAGAAGGTATCCAGGAAGAGAAGTCTCCACCTCAGCCCCGGTATCCTTCATGACGACCGTGTAGGTCTTAACGTAAGAATCCATGGCCTTAAGCAGCTCTAACGACCGTTCTGACAGTTCTGAGGGCGTGATGTTCTGCTTCAATAACACCGACAAATCATCAGGGGTGAACGGAATGGGAGTCGAAGATGCCACTCCGCTATACGCGGGAGTCTTGGAACCGTTCCTCGACTCCATCCGCAGTGAAAACTCGGACGAAAGAGACGTCCCAGATCTTTCATTTGACGACTCGCTGGGAGATTTAGCCGCAATGGACATTTCAGATTCACTCGATAAAGATTGATAATCCATGCTGGACATAGAAGCATCTGAAGGCTCTTTAATCAGCGGGCTTTTACTATGCACCCTTTGAGGATCGTTATCTTCTAGCGCAGCAGCGTTGAGGTCGCCATTTACATCATGCAACGACTCTTTCTTCCTTGATACTTCGACGTGTAAGCCGTTAACAACGTGCGACAAACTCGGGGGACAGTCGGGACTTTTCTTGTCAAGTTCTATTGATGAAGACGAAATTTTGGCAAGCACCTGAGGAATTTCATTCGATGAACTTTTGAGAGCAGAGAGAAGGGGTGAGAGGACGTGATCGATGGTATCTCTGTCTGAACCCATCACCTGCAAAGAAAAACAGACGTCATTAGATTAAATCGTTTAGAAATATAACAGGGGTGTCAATTTCGTGTATTCTAGGCAAAACACGCAAGAATAGGACCAGTAAAATTTTGGAAAATTACGAGCTGGAATTTACGTATTTATTTTCTTACCGATTTAGATTCTACGAAACGTAATTTTTTTAAATCGATACGTATATATTTTCTAGCATTACTTACAATGCGCCAAGATGAAGCTACCACTTGATGAGCTTCATTGAACATGAAAAGTGAATGCTGGAGGCTCAACATAATTGAAAAAATAACGGATTCAACACCACAAATGTTCACTGATCCGATATATTGGTAACCGTTAATACCTCTTATACGGAGTGGTAGTATTAATTAATAAAATATTTATATGGTTTCGCTTCATAATAAGATTACATGCTCTAATTCATCTCTAACAGTAAAGAATTATATAATAGAATACCCGTTTATTTATTAGTGATAGCACATTTTTCCTTTGACCGCGAAAAAATCCTGCCTTTGTTTTAGTGAATATTTATACAAATTACTTCAAATTTAAATTATTTTTGCAAGTTTGATTGAAGACCAGAGACCTCGATGACCTTAACCATGTTTTTAAAACCATAATATAAGGGTTTTTCATGGTTTTAAAACCATACCCATGGTTTCAAAACCATAATATAAGGGTTAAGCCGCCGCCTCACATGCCGCCAACACTCTGAAGGGCCAGAGAGCCCCATGACGGAGGCTCACAGAGTGACGATCACTCACATTGGAAGCTTGCACCAGCATCATCATGCGGTGCCCCGACGCCTGCACCAGCATCATGCGGTGCCCCGACGCCTGCACCAGCATCATGCGGTGCCCCGACATTATCAAGCTAGAGTCTCCAGCTATCACAGTTATCAACCAACAAGCCACCGGATTTTTCAGGAAATAGAAATTATTTTCCGCATATGATTACGTTCTATTTGGATCTGTATCTACTATATACATTGTTTGTACTTATTTCGCTTTAAAATTTAAAATTTAAGTATGGTAAAACCCTCGATTTTTCGATAATATTGTATATTTAAACTTCGAATTCTTTTAAAATATTATTTCGTAACCTTTTTGCTATTGGCCAAAGTCAGCAAGAAATTTTGTAGGAATCCTTGAAAAAACAATCACCAAAATAATAAAAGACTTTCTTTCAAATAAGCCCTATGATCTGGTGATACATTTTCAATCTACATATTTTATATCATTCTACAATAATTTTCTATTATTGAATTTCCATACATACGAACAAAACCGACATAATGCTTTGTTAATTTCTGAATGCAGTCGCTAAATCTCACGAGTAATTAAATTCCATTTAAAAATAGTCTTAAGAATTGTAAGGAATTATTTTATTAAAGTGACGGAAGAATAAAATTATCAGTAGAGGTAATAATTGGACTGAACAGCCTCAGCGCGCCCGGCATTTAATTTGGCGCATGCGCGAGGTCGCGGCCGAATCCTAACCAGTAACGGTACGCGGTGGCGACGCGCAACCTTCAGGACAAAAAACTTGTCAAATTCCTCAAGAAGTTGGGCGCTGAAAGAAAGAGCTTTGGGCGGCCCTCGTTGCGGTGTCCCACTTTCCAAGTCTACTGATTTAGAGGTGACCTAATAAAAGAATTGGTGGGAGTGATATGCGCTCAAATGTAAGGTTGCAGTAATTATACATTGACTACATAAATATACATTGAATCTGGTTTTGATTTAATGGAGGCGTGATTGCTTGCATCTTTGAATGTTATGTGTACTTTTCTAAGTGGAAGATACCGTAGCTACATTTCTTGTCGATGCGTAAAAAACGAAAAAAAAATAATTTCAGGAACAAGAGATGCTTGACGTAATTTATTTTTCAATATTGTGTCGTTTGTATTAAATTAGAAGATAGTCTCAATATTGAAACTGAAACATCGATTGAGAACGGGGCATCAGAATGAGCAAGAGTAAAACTTTCTCTCATGAAAGCGTCAATAAACCAAATAAAGTGACCCACTTACAACCGAAGTACCTACCTATAAGGTAGCTTAGCTTAAACGATTAAAATTGCTTTCACTTAAAAACATAGAAACTAAATCTCTTGGAAAACGATCTCATTTCTTGCTAAAAACGTAAAATTTTACAGGACTCGATTCTACACGTGTTGCTTTAAGAACCTTAAAAATTTCAACAGGTTCATATGTCAAACCATTTTCAAAAATACTTGAGCTACAATGGTTCCGTTTCCTCGTCGTGAAGAAGTCACGTAATTCGGGCGAGTCAGGGAACTCACCGTTATACAACGCGCGAGTCTTCGTTGTTAGCAACACAACGCTGACTTCGCTACGTCACAACACTCATTTTTCCGCATGCTTCATGCGTATAAAATTTTAAAAACGATTTTAAACGTTTAAAAAACCAGTGCCGATTCACGGCACTTGTTGCCAATTCATACATTTTCATTACAATAATATTATTCATGTATTGATTTGTAGATTACCGCATTTACAGCTGTGTCAAGAAGTAACTAACGGTGTATCCAATCAATTAAAAATATACATTGAGAATAGGTGTATTATTATGATGATATATGAGATTATATGTGAGGTGCTCATTAGAGGTGCAAGAAGTATGTCTATATGTGACTAGTTTAGTTTGTCGTTCCTATCGTAGTACGCTATACTGAGCAATCTAGGAAGATTCAACTGCCGAAGAGAGTTAAGCACACGACAAATAGAAACAAATTTAAGCTAAACAAATTTGGGCCGACAAATTTTAAATTTTTAAGTTGAAAAAAATATAAACACCACCGCATGAAGACCACTATGCAAAAGCGTCAGCGTAATGTACGTTTTTTACACAACAATTTCTATTTTTACTCGAGACATTTGCCTAAGTTCAGATGGACCTTGAGCCTCGAGAGCTAACATGGGTGGCGGGAGGGCCGCCACTAAAAATTACGGCCGGTTTATGGGCGGTACTTACGAGGAAGTCTACTGACCGCAAAAAGTCTAATCGTGCAATTAGAAATTACTGGATTCATCCTCTTACACAAACACTTAGGAGAATATTTTGAGCATTTTACTGTGTGAGTCATGAGTCTCATGACCCATTGCAAGCAGCATTCGCACTATTGCTATGATTTTCCACGAGGTCGATGATCAGTAATGAAGAATATAAGATACAAGTCAAATAATTTTGCCGAAACCATTAACCGTGATTATGGGCCTCATTGACCGCATTATTAATCAAGAGCTGAATAAGACTCCTCATAACATAACATACATAAAAGGTTGAATTGAAGGTGTTGTATGAATCTTTTTTGAAACATGAAAGATAGGCAAAGAGAGCTATACGCACTGCATGAAACAGTCAGGTAATTACTGAGAAATTTGGTAGAAATCTTCCACCAAGTTCCACCCCAGAATTATACCATGGGAATTCAAGCAACAGAAAATTTAACGTATGGGCATTAAATAGTGAATATATTTACGTCGATGTTAAATGTTAGCGTCAGAGTATTAATTTTTTATATACGAGACCATTGTGCAAACAAACATTACCTATTATGCGTATCCGCATGGATAAAGTGAGTACACATTAGAACTACGGAAATACTTTAAAATTCAACAAAATTCAACTTGCTATACAAAAAAAATCAACTCTTCCCTACAAATCCAAGAAACTTATGAGCTGGTATTACAGCACACACTTTATCCTACGCGTATCTATAACCCATAGCAGCAACGATAGATAGCCGCCTGAGACCGACCCACCTCTCTAACCTTCCTTATCAAGTGCTACGGCGATTCACTGGTACATAACCAACAAGTCTGTATAGATAAAGTTGGAGGCAAATTTAGAAAGGTGCAGCACCGTACACACGCGATGAATTTGAATGGACACGAGTTGCTGGTAATGAGCGCAATGCTCTAAATTTGAACGCGAAAAAATATGTATTGCTTGAACAGACGAAATGCAGTGCCAAAAACAATAGAGGAATGTGCGAGCGGTTTATCGCGTTAAAAATTAATCTATCATGGAAGTTATTGTTTCCATGGAAAATAACTTTTAAAAGATGCAACTACCGATGAATATCAGCATAGCATATTAAATATGATTCGAGTACTCATGTCAGCTATAAAAATGCAATAAAAACTCATTTTAAAGTAGAAACCATCTCCATCATCAGTTTAATACTTCAGGAATACAAGCATAATCAAACTGGCGAGTTAATTTACACATGGAAAATAGAATCCTACGTGATAAACTTTCATTATCCAAAGCATAAATACATTATTGGTAATTAAATTTTAAACTCAATAGAGAACGATGAATAAAATATTGTGATTTTATTGGCGCTTTCTTTGCCCTTCATGTCTTGGTTTACACTTGATATTACACTTTTCTCCTCGTTGGAAAAAAAGGAGCCATCACAATTATAATTTTAAGAATTATTCCAGAAATTCATAAAATAAACCATCAATAATAAATATTTGAACAATGTGCCATTTCATCGCTAAGTAGCTAAGAAAAAAATTCTCTTTTGTTGGCGTTCTGAACTGCAGGTCAAAATCGAGAGGAACTAAAAAGTAAAAAGAGGTCAAAAGAGGAACTAAAAGTTACTAAAAAGAAAAAGTAAAAGAACAAATAACAACACCTTTCAAACTTATCTTTAATCGAGTGAGTTATCTTCACGCCACAGCTAATATGAATGTTAGTCAATTTTTTAACAAAACAAAAGTCGATGTAAAATAGATCAATGGCACTCACTTCTTTAGAAACTAGAAAAAATCATTCGTTAAGAACGCTGTGAGAAAACGAGATACGTAAAGAAAATCCGAGCAACGGTACTGTAGAGAAACTAACACCTGGATGACTACGATCGACGCGGCTGTGCGGTGAAAGGAACAGCGTCGTGCTACGTTCTCCGACAGACTATTAAATTGAGCTTAGATGTCTTTTGCATTTCTTATAAGA